TACTGTTTAACTGTGTCGTTTTCTCCGTATCTTTTCACTGCTGAACACAATAATGGCTAAATTCAGTTAGCTTCGATTTGAGTGCAATATTTAATTTGATCTCATTATTACGAGTGCACTGAACGAGAAAATTTGATTGAGCGTTATTCAAGGATTAAGAATGCTCAATAATTCGCAATTAACCACTAAATAACTATCGTTCGCTTTATGATTTATGCGAAATTGGAGGCTACAAGGAAATGAACTTGTAAACTGCTATTGAATCATTCATGAGGTTCAATATTCTCCGTCGAGCAAAGTTTGCGTAGTTATAGATTTAAATGTACTTTGTTTCATTTTTTTTCTAATTTCGTTGATTTCTGGTCTTTTCGCTGTAACGACAGCATTGATGAAGTGATCATTTTTGTGATCGAATCGAGCATATGTGAGACTGTTTTTTTATTATTTTCCAAATCCCGAATTCTATGCCATAAATTTTTTGTTCTGAATGCATTATTATTCCATCTGTTAGTCCCATACAAGTTGACATTCACGAATGGAATGCATAATAAGATTTAAAATGACAAGCTGAAGCAAGACGCTGAAAGACACGTGTATTATGACCTTGCAATGATGCGTGATGAATTCTCAAAACACGGTAATAAATGCTCAGAATTCATGCCTGACTGGCAAACAAAAGCTTTGTTCTATCACCACAATACTTTCTCGTATCCTTTGACACACTCAGCAAATCCGCGTAAACAAAATATTGTCCAATGCCTGAAGAGCACGGATAAGTCGTCAGAGGAAGTGGAATAAAGACTGACGAAATAAACTCATCGAATGATTAAACCAGTATTTTTAATGCTCACTTGATTTCAATGGACGAATTCGACGCCGTTTTCCCGAATGTTACCTCATGATGGCTGAAGTTAGATCTTATTGGGAACCGAAGACTTCTTTTTTAGATTAGGAGGAAACCTCTGACACCAGAATATAGTTACAGAATGGAAATTTATAGGGGAATTATAAGAAAAAATGTTGCTTTCTGCTATTACGTGATCTCGAATCATTTCGTTCAACCAAAGTCGGTCAGAAATGTTAACTTTTCATAAGAATTTCATGCATCTGAAATTAGCCAATAAGACTTTCTTCATCATATTCCATGCGAACAAGTTACCTTCTAATCGCAATTAAAATTACATTTTCAGTTAATGGCAAATGATTGCGATCATACATCTCATTCACGAGTCATAGTAGCCTATGCCTAAGCCGATGAATCACAAATTGCTCCCCTGTGACACGCCTCTCCTTAACTCCTTAGTTATATCTCGCGTGTAACTGAAACTAATTAGTTTCCAACATTATGCGACGTGCTTTCACGATCGTATTTTCGATTCACATTTGCGACGTTGGCATTGGAAATTGATGAAATGGATAACGGTTCGTTCGAAACGGACGGGTCATGCGTGGGACTTGGATGGAATTGCCGTTAGTGT